GGCGAACGGGGGCAGTGAGGCGGCGGCCGCGGCCGCGGCCTCCGCCAGCCCCCAGCTGCCCGGGCCCGCGCCCGCCGCCTCTGGGCCCTCTCCGCCAGCAGCTCCCGCACCCCCGCACACCGAGCAGGGGCCCACGTTGCAGCAGACGGAGCAGGGCGCGCTCAGGGCGGGCAGGCCTGGGCCGGGCTGCAGTGGAGACGGGAGCACCCCACGGTGCTGGCGCTTGAGGTGGCGGCCCAAGCTGGAGCGTGAGGAGAAGCGCAGCTCGCAGACCAGGCAGCAGTAGGGTTTCTCACCAGTGTGGACGACCTGGGAGGGAGAGAGGGAGAGAGGGAGAGCGCGGCATCAGAGCAGAGGGTCCAGTCTGCAGGGCGGATTCCTGCCCTCCCGACTGGCCTTGCCTAGCTTCCACCTTCTCCCTCTTCTTCTCTGATTTGGGTCATGCTGGGATTCTTTCTGCCCCTTCCCTCGCAGGACCTTTGCACGTGCTGTTCCTTTAGGCTGGAGAACTCTTCCTCCCATTCGTCCAGACTAACTCTTACTCATTTTCACCAAGCCCACCTAGGAAACTGGGACTCCCTGGGAGAATGGTTAGGTACTAGGGCTCTGAGCACTAACAAACCTGGGTTCAAGTCCCCCCTCTGCCTTCTAGTTGCAGTGAAAACTAGACAAGTAACATCATCTCTGAGGCTCTGCTTTTCTCCTCTGTGACACGGGCACAAGATGTGCCATCTCACAGGGTCGTTGTGAGTATAGGATAAAATCATCACTAAACAGCTACTCAATTCCTAGAAATTGTAATTATTATCGATAAACGTTCCGACCTCCTATGGATGTCCTCTAAGGTGGTGGATATCGGGAAGAGGTGGAGAGGATCTTTCATAATCCCCTGGGATGGGAGGTGGTTTTTCAAGGTAAATGTCCAACCTTCTAGAGCAAGAACTGTCCAACAGAGCTTTCTGCACTGATGGAGGTGTTGTGTACCTTCACTGACCAATATGGCAGCCACCAGCGACACCTGGCTTTTGAGCACGTGAAATGTGGCCAGTGTGTTACACAAGACTGTGCCTTACTGATAGTGGCCCTTGTGGTTTATTTAAAAGTCTGGGAGTACTAGAGACAGATTTTGAGCGTCCAGTCCTTTTGATTGGTAGTGCCTGCCTGTTGAACTGTAAAGCTAAATGAGAAAGCACAGCGCTGTCTGCTGCCCAAAGTGGGGCCCTGTGGCTCCAAGGGTGTGTCCAGCCCAGGGAGGCCAGCCTGAGCCCAGCCTGCGGGACTCACCTGGTGGTGCAGCAGGCCGGTGGAGTCTCGGAACCCTTTAGGGCAGGCAGAGCAGCGGTAGGGCCGCTCGCCGGTGTGCGAACGCAGGTGGTTGGCCAGGTTGAAGCTGTGTTTGAAGCCCTTGCCACAGCGCGGACACGCGTGGGGTTTGAGTGCAGTGTGCCGGGCGAAGTGGCGCCGAAGGTCCGAGCGGTAGCGGAAGCTCTTGCCACACTCACTGCAGTGAAATGGGACCCGGGGAGCAGCAGCAGCGGGAGGTGCTGGGGCCGGGGCCGGGGCGGGGACCGGGGGCACTGGCAGCGGGGCATCATCCATGGTGGTGTGGTGGGAGGGCAGTGGCGAGTGGAGGCTCTCTCTGGAGCAAGGGGAGACATGGAGGGCAGGTGAAGCAGTCAGCTCCCCATCAGCCCTCTCCTATCAGTCTCCTTGGACTCAGGACCCGCTATCTGTCCCCTGGGAACCCTTCCCACTTCCCTCCAAGCTACACTCAACCTCCAAGCCACGACCACCCACCGTTAAGCCTCCCCTTCTCCTACAAACCCTCCTCTCACTCATCTACCAGTCTTCCTAATCAGTGCCAAGTGGCTAATACACTCCTGAGTGTTTTTAAGCCTCTTCTCTACTTGGACCCCACCCCCCTTCTCCCTAAGCCCCGCCCACTCTGTTAGCCCCCAGCCACTCTGAATCAGGTCCCACCCACTCCTCCTCAAGTTCCCGTTGCCTCTTGAATTCTCTGACAAGTCCCTTCCTCTCTGAAAGTCCCTCCCAGTCTTCTTCGAGAGTGAAAGTCATCTTCGGGGAAAAGATTCACATTCCTAGCAAATGAGTGGGACAAAGATTTGGGGCCAAGTGCACTTGGTTCAACCTTCCAGGGCGACCAGGAATGGTCCTGGAACCTCTGAAGAAACCAACTGTCCATCTGCAGAAAGTCTGTCCATCTGCACAGTGGGAGTAACAGGGGTACCTACCTCATGCAGTGGAGGTGAGGCGTAAGCAAAACTGTGGCAGTGCGTGCCGCGCCCTGACTCAGGCAGGGGCCCAGCAAAGGCTCAACAGGCAAGCGGTTCTGATTACTACTGCCCGCCAAGTTCCTCTGAGATTGCTCTCTAAATCCTACCATCTCTTCTCGGCTAAGGTGCGCCTCCAGAACGCCACACAGGTTGTCGTCTCCACCTAGCCTGTAGGGGGGCCCGTCCTTTCCAAGACCCTCCACTCAGCCTTCCGGGGGGAGCCCCTTCCCAGCCCTCCAAATCATTGCACTTACGTTATGAAGACTTGTTATTTCCACTAAGACTAATTACACGCCTAAATCCCATCACCTCACTGCGCCCACTCCTGCACAAACTACTCCCCTTCTGCTCTAAGCTCCGCCCACCTGTGCCCTGAGTCCCATTCCCGCTCCCCCCCCCGCCCCCCCCCCC